CAGAGTTGACCGAAGTACGGCGAAAAATCCCGGACAATTTTCCGAATCCGGGTCAGCTCGGCCCTAAAACGTACTCGGCCCCCGAGTCAGCTCGGCCCTATTCCAACTCGGCACGGGTCAACTCGGCCCACTTTTCAATTATTAATATTTAGGTTTGTGTTATCACTATTTATTGTAAATTGTAATTTATTATTATTTTAATACACGAATTGACAGTTTCCGAACTAGCAGCAGACAGGCTTTTCTTATGAGTAGAAATGCGAGTAAAGATCACCGATTGCGTATCTCACTGTATTTCTGACTCGTGGTAGGTTTAACCGTAAAATTAAATACTTATTATTATCAATCAGTGTGTATGTTAAGGATGCCGATTAATTAGGTGATAATTATGATTGACGCATTCATTCAAATTTGATTAGTGGCCACCTGCAATTAATAAGAAGCTTATGATATTAAGTAAACACGTTTTTGTTTCATATTTTTTTGAATATTAGATCTACTTTACAAACAAAATGCATCTAAGATTAGATCTATATTAATTTTATCGAATCTGCGAGACAAATAAATAACATTTTTTTCTAAATATACTTTATTTCGGCAGAAGTACAATGTATTTAAATATTTCTTATTATTTATTTACTTTAACAAAATGCAAAGCAAAGTTAATACGTTATATATATTTTTGTAAAGTGGGCCGAGTTGACCCGTGCCGAGTAGGTATAAGGCCGAGTTGACTCTTTTCCCAATTTTCCCGCTTCACACATTATAAGTCACGTGATCATTTGAGCACAGAAAAGACCAGTTTAGGAGCTCACGTCGCACGGCGAAGATGGAAAATTGATTTTGCAGGTGTGTTAATATTGCGTCTTTTGATTTTTTTCAGGTATTTACAGTACTGGAAGAAGAAGTAGAAGAAGATAAAGAAGAAGCCTGTTTAGGAGGGAGAGTTGCACGGCGAAGATGGAAGAAATGGCGTGCAGGTGTGTTGATATTTTTATTGTACTTTATTGTGTTATTTGATTTTTGTCATAAGCCTATCGTATTGAATGCCTTTGTTATTTGACTGTTTATTTTTATTTTGATGATTTGTATACATAATTGCTCCTGATAATTGAGACACCTGGCCATTTTATTACCCCGCCCCACATGACTTGCTAGTTATGGTGTTGATGAAATATGGTTGATGTTTAATTTGACGATCTCGATTGGCCAGTCTGACCAGCCGCGTGACATAACATACTTTGCGAGACATAACATACTTAGGCGTTTTTTGTTTAATTTTTTTATTGTTTATTGACAAACTCTCCCTCCACGTTCTGATTATTAATACATGTATTTTGTGCATGTCAAACAGGTTTGTTTATAAATAAATAAAAGGATGTATGTTTAAAAAAATGTGTATACAAAATTTGTATGAAAATTGGTATAAAATTGGATATAAAAATGTTTTTGGTCGCTCTGTGATATATGTTAAATGCATAATGGGTACAATAGACAACCTCCTTATTATCCCCCTGAGGTATTCAGGGAGGCGGTAAAAATCAAAGAGTTGGACTAATTTTAGTTTTAATTATCATTAAAACTCCGATTAATTAAACCGTAATTGAATGTTTGCAAACTTACCTGTCTTTGTAGTTTTACATCAAAGCTTAGCACGTTCGCTTAGATAAAGATCATGAAAATTTAACGTAAACGAGACGTTATTTTATTAATATTACGATATCAATCAAATTCATTATTAATTTTACATATTTTACATAAAAGAACTATTTAAAAAAAAACATTGATTTACAACATAATAGTGACGAATAGATCGAAAGTAGGGGACGAGTTGACCATATTAGGGACGAGTTGACTCTTTGAGGACGAGTTGACCAAAAGTAGGGGACGAGTTGACCAAAAAGGTGACGAGTTGACCAGAGGATGAGTTGACCAGGGGCCGAGTTGACTGGATTGCTTCATACGTGTCCGAAAACAGACGGAAAGGGCCGAAAAGTTGCGATTGGAATTTTACCCCGCCATATTTATTTTTACAAAAGAACACTTGGTTAATTCTATTGTTGTTTCAATAATGAAAAGGTCAGAGTTGACCGAAGTACGGCGAAAAAACCCGGACAATTTTCCCACTTCACACATTATAGGTCACGTGATCATTTGAACACAGAAAAGACCCGTTTGAGAGGGAACGTCGCACGGCGACCATGGAAAATTGATTTTGCAGGTGTGTTAATATTGCGTCATTTGATTTTTTCAGGTATGCACAGTACTGGAAGAAGAAGTAGAAGAAGAAAAAGCAGAAGCCTGTTTAGGAGGGAGAGTTGCAAGGCGAAGATGGAAGAAATGGCGTGCAGGTGTGTTGATATTTTTATTGTACTTTATTGTGTCATTTGATTTTTGTCATTAGCCTATCATATTGAATGCCTTTGTTATTTGACTGTTTATTTTTATTTTGATGATTTGTATACATAATTGCTCCTGATAATTGAGACACCTGGCCATTTTATTACCCCGCCCCACATGACTTGCTAGTTATGGTGTTGATGAAATATGGTTGATGTTTAATTTGACGATCTCGATGGGGCAGTCTGACCAGCCGCGTGACATAACATACTTTTCGCGACATAACATACTTAGGCGTTTTTTGTTTAATTTTTTTATTGTTTATTGACAAACTCTCCCTCCGCGTTCTGATTATTAATACATGTATTTTGTGCATGTCAAACAGGTTTATTTATAAATAAATAAAAGGATGTATGTTTAAAAAAATGTGTATACAAAATTTGTATGAAAATTGGTATAAAATTGGATATAAAAATGTTTTTGGTCGCTCTGTGATATATGTTAAATGCATAATGGGTACAATAGACAACCTCCTTATTATCCCGCTGAGGTATTCAGGGAGGCGGTAAAAATCAAAGAGTTGGACCTAATTTTAGTTTAATTATCATTAAAACTCCGATTAATTAAACCGTAATTGAATGTTTGCAAACTTACCTGTCTTTGTAGTTTTACATCAAAGCTTAGCACGTGCGCTTGGATAAAGATCATGAAAATTTAACGTAAACGAGACGTTATTTTATTAATATTACGATATCAATCAAATTCATTATTAATTTTACATATTTTACATAAAAGAACTATTTAAAAAAAAACATTGATTTACAACATAATAGTGACGAATAGATCGAAAGTAGGGGACGAGTTGACCATATTAGGGATGAGTTGACTCTTTGAGGACGAGTTGACCAAAAGTAGGGGACGAGTTGACCAAAAAGGTGACGAGTTGACCAGAGGACGAGTTGACCAGGGGCCAAGTTGACTGGATTGCTTCATATGTGTCCGAAAACAGACGGAAAGGGCCGAAAAGTTGCGATTGGAATTTTACCCTGCCATATTTATTTTTACAAAAGAACACTTGGTTAAATCTATTGTTGTTTCAATAATGAAAAGGTCAGAGTTGACCTAAGTACGGCGAAAAAACCCGGACAATTTTCCCGCTTCACACATTATAGGTCACGTGAGCATTTGAGCACAGAAAAGACCAGTTTAGGAGGGAACGTCGCACGGCGAAGATGGAAAATTGATTTTGCAGGTGTGTTAATATTGCGTCATTTGATTTTTTCAGGTATGTACAGAACGTACTGGAAGAAGAAGTATAAGAAGAAAAAGAAAAAGAAAAAGCCTGTTTAGGAGGAAGAGTTGCAAGGCGAAGATGGAAGAAATGGCGTGCAGGTGTGTTGATATTTTTATTGTACTTTATTGTGTCATTTGATTTTTGATTAGCCTATCGTATTGAATGCCTTTGTTATATGACTGTTTATTTTTATTTTGATGATTTGTATACATAATTGCTCCTGATAATTGAGACACCTGGCCATTTTATTACCCCGCCCCACATGACTTGCTAGTTATGGTGTTGATGAAATATGGTTGATGTTTAATTTGACGATCTCGATTGGGCAGTCTGACCAGCCGCGTGACATAACATACTTTTCGCAACATAACATACTTAGGCGTTTTTTGTTTAATTTTTTTATTGTTTATTGACAAACTCTCCCTCCGCGTTCTGATTATTAATACATGTATTTTGTGCATGTCAAACAGGTTTATTTATAAATAAATAAAAGGATGTATGTTTAAAAAAATGTGTATACAAAATTTGTATGAAAATTGGTATAAAATTGGATATAAAAATGTTTTTGGTCGCTCTGTGATATATGTTAAATGCATAATGGGTATTAAATGCATAATGCGTATTAAATGCAAAAAAAAAGGAGTGGAAAAAATAGCAAACAATAGTTTAACTGTAAACATGTCAAAGAAGGTTTTTTAAATATGTAAAATAATGAGTTTCAAAAAATGTGTATAAGACTGTGTATGAAATGTGTATCAAAAATGGTATAAAGAATGGGTGTATAAAAATTATGTATAAAAATGGGCATAAAAGATGGGTATAAAAATTGTTTCTAGTCGACAGTTTCTAGTACGAATGGAAAAAAAAGTGGTAATTCTATCGGAGAAATCCTCTTAAACTTAATTGTCAAAGGTTTTTTATAGATATGCAAAAAAATTGTTTAAAAAATATTTATGAATAATTTGTATGAAATGGGCATCATAAAAAGGTATCATAAAAGGGTATTAAAATGTATCTGGTCTCTCAGCCTCAGGTTGACTGCTTCAAAAAGCAGGAGAAATCCTGTTAAATAAATCAAAGAATGTTTTTTAAATATTTAAAATAGCGAGTTTCAAAAAAAAAATGTGTATAAAAATGGGTATCATAAAAAGTAAAAAAATCTGGTCTCTCAGCCACAGTATAATTGGCTGGGGGTCCACTACTCTCAACGTAGAAACATGTATAAATCAAAGGGCTGCAAGCTCTGTGGTATTTTCTGATCTTTGCAATCTAAATCGCACTGTATCTGCAGGACACCAGAGTTTGATACATACGGAGTTTTGCATGGCTAGAGTAGGGGGGTAAAAAGAGTAAGATAACAACTAAAGAAGTGTATGCATTTAAGGTTTTAATATAAACAAACAATAAACAAAACATATTTACAGCACTTTAAATTTTTTGTCAATTAAATAATACAACATCTTGGGAGCAGTCATATGTAGAGCAAGAACAGTGTCAATATTTACAAAGGATATTAAAAATAATTTTAATCTCTCTGTAGCAATATTTACCCGCATTTAGAAAAATCTTGACCTTCAAATTTTATTTCCATGCAGCTTTTTTTAATGAAAGTGACTTAAACACTTATGAAAAGATATTTAAAAATAGCTTCAATTCACTGTAGAATCTGAATAAACATATTTTATTTCTAGCTTCCATTTCAATTATACCCCTGTGCATCTTATATTCATTAATATAGATTGTTTTTTATTATGTCTTATGAGTAAATACAAGTGCTTTACTTTTATGTGGTAATTATGTTCTAATCGTGTAATATCATATCATAATGACATCATATGACATAATTGGAAAGCTAAATAATGCATGAAGGGAGAAAGTTTTTTTTAAAAAGAAAACCATTCTTACGCAATTTTTTCATTGAAGAGGATTTATATTATATATTCAAGCTGTTGTTGAACATATAAGCAACAAAAATATGACTTCTTATATATGTAAAAATACAAAGGGTCACAGACTATAGTCATTGCTCAAATAATAATTGCAACAGTATAAATTTGTTGAAATTGTTCAAAAATTTTTGTTCTACTGCTCAGAAATATGACATCCTAAGTCTTTATATAAAATGACAAGTATTTGGACAGTTCTAGCAAGTACTTTAAAAATATATACTAACACTACCCACATTTTACCCTATTTAAAATAGGACAAAAAGTTTTGTTATTATGCAATAAAATCTCTATTGAGTTTCTTTATATTTAGACATAAAACGCAACCATTAGACATGTAATGAAACAATTAAAACTGAGCCTGAAAGATGTTTCAAACCAAATATCTAATCTCTACCTTATTTGATTTTTCAAAAGAAGATACGGCAGCATTTATATGTTGATGTCGCGTTAGAATAGAAATAATATATCCAAATCAGTGATTTTATCGCTTGATAACATCACTGTTTGTTGGTCGGATGCGCATCATTATATCACTTGGGCTACGCTCTTGTGATATAATTCCTCGCATCCGAACTCCAAACAATGATGTTATTAAGCGATAAAATCACTGTTTGGGATATATTGTTTCTTAATTAAAGTTAAAGTAAACTGCAAAACATGATAATACAATAATACTTTTGGTAAAGATCAAACAGCCTTCTCATACATAAAACTTTATTAAAGTTACAGTAATCTGCAAAACATGATAATAAAATAATACTTTTGGTAAAGATCAAACAGCCTTCTCATACATAAAACTTTATTAAAGTTACAGTAATCTGCAAAACATGATAATAAAATAATACTTTTGGTAAAGATCAAACAGCCTTCTCATACATAAAACTTTATTAAAGTTACAGTAATCTGCAAAACATGATAATACAATAATACTTTTGGTAAAGATCAAACAGCCTTCTCATACATAAAACTTTATTAAAGTTACAGTAATCTGCAAAACATGATAATAAAATAATACTTTTGGTAAAGATCAAACAGCCTTCTCATACATAAAACTTTATTAAAGTTACAGTAATCTGCAAAACATGATAATAAAATAATACTTTTGGTAAAGATCAAACAGCCTTCTCATACATAAAACTTTATTAAAGTTACAGTAAACTGCAAAACATGATAATACAATAATACTTTTCAAAATATCAATGATATATCAACATCAATATATCAAGGTCAACATCAACTATATACAGAAAAAAAGTGCGATTGATCTCAGGGACACCATAAGCCAAAGGTCAATAAATGCTAAAGTTATGGAAAAATTCAATAAAATCTATGATGAGTATGTGTGAATATAAGCCAAAAATTTCAAGAAATACCAAAGTTTTTTTGTTATGGTTGCTATGGCAATAAGAGTCCTGCATGGAATTAAATTCTTTAGGCAATTTCATAAGTTGATCACCAAAGGAACATACATGTGAAGTCTGAATGAAATTGGCTTAGTTGTTTCTGAGTAGATGTTGTTTAAAGAAACAGTGCCGGATTAAAAGCAATAAGAAAAGCTCACCATGTTACTTTGAGACAGGTGAGGAAAAAATTAGATGCATTAGGATTAGTGAACAAAATGTCTAAGTAAAGTTACTAGACAGAAATAGTATTGCAAAAACCAAGACTTGGATAAGAAATTTTCAGACACTTAATGTTAGTTATATAAGCCATTGTGGTAGGAAAAATACGGATTATACAATTGTTGAATATCACAGTTAAATAGTTCTTGATATATCATATTGATTTTAAGAAAGGCTATTGACAAAAGTAACATGTAAAAATATAAAAGAAACATGTAAAAATAAGAAGCGCAATAACTAGTATGAAACAAAATGCAAAAGATAATGACATGAAAATTATAAAAATAAATGATATTTCTAGTAGTATGTACATTTTCTTAATGTATTCAGTTTATATCTATATTACTCATTTCAAACTGAACAAAAAATCAATGAAAAAGAAAAAAACTTACTAACGGCAATTACTCTGGAATTATTTTATAGAGATTCTGGTTAACATTTCCAAATATTACTTAAAATTGGGTTAGTTTGTCACAAAAAATTAGTAATAAATATTACAAAGGGCAATAACATAAAATTTGAGTTATGATTCTTAAATGCGTCAATTGTCAAATGTTTTGAGATATTTCTACCAAATAGAAACCTATGGTAAATAAACAGTTTTGAATGTAAATCTACAGCAAGTAAACAGTTCACATAGTATCTAAGAAAACTAAACATACAGGACATAGTTTTGAAAAATTTCTAATAATGTAAACAAACAGCATGTAAATGATCAGAGGCAACTCTGTGTTGTTGGAGATTTCTGTAAGTATCCATTGGAATTCTACTAAAACATTTAACTTATAAAAACAGTGTGCCATTATTTTTATATTTTATGCAGATTTCTATTTTATTTATAGAAATTTTACAATATCAACTCCTGGTCAATCACCATATTATCATTCAAGCTTTTTAAATATATAATAAATTTGGCTGAAATTGACAATGAAAATATGAGCATAATGTCACTTTAAATATAACAAGAGCTGTCTGTAGGACAGCAATGCTCTACTATTCTTAGTGATTGATAGTAAAAAAGCTTTGATAATGTAAATTTTTCTAAGTAAAGAAAAGGGTAATTTTTTTTCTTTAAATCCATATAACAGATATAGGTCTTGGAGAGAGTACTATTATATTCTAAAAGAAGGGTATTAAATTTCAACTTGTTTCAAAGCCATATGTCAATGGACTTTAAAAATATTTGAGGTATAACAAAAACTTGAACATAAATTCTAAGTAATAAAAGGGCATAATTTTGTCAAAATGCTTGATACAGTTTCCTCCCCCTGTCTACAGGTTGGGGTCATGATGTTGAACAAGTGTGCAAAGTTTCAAAGCCATATGTGTATGGACTTTGAAAATATTTGAGGTATTACAAAAACTTTAAGGTAAATTCTTAGTTGAAAAAGGGGCATAATTCTGTCAAAATGCTTGATACAGTTACCTACTCCTATCTACAGGTTTGGCTTATGATGGTGAACAAATGTGCAAAGTTTCAAAGCCATATGTCAATGGACTTTGAAAATATTTGAAGTATTACAAAAACTTTAACATAATGGGTTACGCCAACGCCGATACTCGGGTGACTACAATAGCTCTACTTATTCTTATCGAATAGTCGAGCTATAAAACTATGTACAACACTGACTTTTGTGAAACTTATTTCTGTCAAATGACAATATTATTTCAAAATCTGTGAGCTCTTCAGCAACAGAACAAGATATAAAACTTGGAAGCTACACAAACATTTTGCATAATAAGAGCTGTCAAAGGAGACAGATGCTAATAAGAGCTGTCAAAGGTGACAGATGCTTGACTTATAAAATACTGTATAAACAAATATAAATACATAACTGTATAAGTATCAAGAAAGTATTCAATAAAACTGAAACAGGCACCTTTATGCGCTAAATGTAGAGTCAACAATTTGAAATTTTAAGCTAATTTCTTCAGTAACAAAAATGAGAGGAGCAAAAAAATTTTGTACAGTCAAGCTTAAAGATATAGTATGCCCAATTTTGATATTTGAAAATATAAATAATTAGTACACACAGTCTCTTTGTTAATATAAAATTAACTTTTTTTTTTACTTCATAAAAAAGTTGTGTGTAAAATTTTACCCACTTTAGGTGGTGACAATATGAATATATAGTATCATTTAAAGAAACTGGGTTTTTTTGTGTTTTTTTTTTCAGAAAAGACCAGTTTAACTTGACCTGTACACAGCTTCCAAAACATAATTTATTCACTCTTTAATTTTCGGTAAAATATTACAAAGATTTCAATTTTCTGTGATAAAATTATTTTACGCACGGATGAGCATACTTTATCTTTAAGAAAAATTTAACCAACAATTACTACGAAACATGTAAGAGGACTAGATTTTTGCATATTTTATGTACAATTGCGCTAAGGCTCCCATATCTGCATGAATTTTTGTAAATGCAAGGTTATTTTAATATTGCAAATAATTCTTTTGTTAAATATAATTCATCCTTTTCATATAAATTGAGACTGGCAATATGTTAGAAGGAATTGCAACATAAATACTTTTATTATTTTCAGTCCTCAACAGAAGGAAATGTATTTTATACTATCAACTTAGTTAAGGAAGGATGGTTTTCAGTAAGTTTTATCACACAATTCTAGCCAAATGAAATATAGGAATAAACCACAATGAAAAATAGAGAAAACTAGGAAAACTACAAAATGTGAATGATATAGAAGGTTTGATCAAATCTTTACCTTTAAAAAATTATGAGGTCTGAATTTATAATCGGTGTTTGGAAATTGTGAAAGAAAATAAATAAATTATTTAAGTAAAGCTAGGCAAAAGATATCAAACCTTACTTTAAACATGTAAATATGGGAGCCTTAAATTGTACAATTGTTTCTCTGGTTTATATTTTAGCAATGTTTAGAATGTCTGTGCCTTTTCTAGATATAGAAAGTCTAAAAGGCCCCTCTTCACATGCTGCTTCAAGGTCAACATATCCATCATTTGTTGCAAGTGCCTGCTGCAAAAGTTCAGCAGGCACAGTAACTTCCGTGGCACTAGTGGATGTGCCCTCACCATCTGTGAAAAGTTCTGCCAATCCATCATCGACAGAGATGCCCACAACTGTAATGGTAAATGTATATTCCGGAGCATCTATTTTCTGAAATGCATAAAAAGAGAAGTATGAGAAATGCAAGGAAACAACACTTTGTTTTAACAAAACACATGTATTTACTTTACAACTATCAAACATGAATACATATCACTCCATAGACTACATCTTATAAGAGATATCAGTTGGACACAAACAGAGAAACACAAAGGTTATTAGAACAATCAGACTGAATTGAACATTGGAGCCACCAGACTAAATAAAACAGATTTTTTGTAAGTAAGAACCCTATCAAATCTAACCAGCTTGTGCTGTATTTATTCCCTTGAATCTGGCACCTGTTCATCTTCGCAAAATTTCAAATTTAAGATGTAGAAAACCGGAAAACTCAGAAGACATGCATTTCTGTATTATCCATGACGCAAGTCCATATGATTAGCATAAGTTGATAAAATAACACAAACTGTTACTTACTTCCAAATTTGATCTCATTGTTGTGGACAGGGAAGTCTGATCCATGTAATAATTCGTTTGTACGTCTGTGATCTGTACAAACTCCCCTGTCCTTACATCTGCGCTCGCAAGTTCCCTCCAAAGAGTGACCTTAGCGTGGCCACTCTCGTCTTCTATAACAACATTCTTAATTTTAACTTCTTCACCACCAACTTTTACCATCTTTGATGCTTCTTCCTGAAAAAAAGTAGAAATTACTAGAATAAAAAAATTGTGTGAATTTGAAGCTGTATTTACACAACAAATTTACATGTCTATAAAATTTCTTGAAGACAAGTAACATATCAGTATTCCCATAGATAACTTATACTAGAAAACAACATTTTTCCCAACAGAAAATAAGACAGCAAGTGTCCAAAGTCCCCAAAATTACATATAAGATATTAAAATAAGTAAATAAAATGTAACAATAATGGATACTTCCATGTTGACATGTGATAAGCAAATAAAGCTTTGTGCCCAGTTATTTTTGTACATTAAGCATTTCACACCTAAAGGTGTACACACAAATAGGAAGATCATTTATGTTGCTATGAAAGTGTTATGTATAATTCATATGTCTCCCTACATAAAAAAGCATGAATACTGTTTACTAAGCATGGTACATTAAATACCAAATATTAGTCAAAACAATGTATTTTTTCCAATTTGACTGGTACTGGCACCAGTCTCAAACTAGGGGGAAAATGCTGCTGTAACCATATAATCAACTGATGTACTCATCAAACATAATCAACATAAAACCAAACATGTAAGGTATATGTCAAGAAATGAATTAGTTTTATACTATAAAATTAGCAGGAGCACTAAAATAGACCTTAACAACTTTGAACATGTCTATAGTATATCTGCATATTTATTTTTTTTTTCATTTCTTAGGTGCTGGACTCATTAAGTAAGACTACACATCACTTCATATGAGGGCATTGTTATTTCTTTTTTTTTTCATTGAAAAAATGTTAGTGATCTTAACCTAATTTTATGATTTGATAAAATTAATAGAAACTAGAACTTGGCTACTCAAATGTGTCACATTGTGAAAAGTATAGCTGTCACTTATGCATTTTTTTCTGAAATATATGTTATTTATAAACATTTCTCTTACAATGTACATATACTTTTAACTTAAGTTACTCTTACAATGTACATATACTTTTAACTTATGTGGCATTTGAACTGATGAGCATTGAAAGAAGCATGCATGTAAAGGTTGAGCCAATCCAACATAACGTGACTTGAGTTATGATCTGCCTGGACAAGCCTAAGGGGATACCCTCACTGTCGCCAACAATGATGCCGATTGCGACTTGAATACTATTTAAGGAATAAAGATATTAACAAAAAAATCAGATAAAACTATTGTAGCAGAAATATATGTGAAACGTATATACCTGAATAAGTTTTCCTTGAACTGAGGACTTCTTTTTTTTCGGGGAAGACAAGGCTTCAGCAACAGAAACAAGCTGGGCTTTGGGAGGGTTAATAAGCGATTGTCCAAGTGCTTTTTGTTCTTCTGTAATACCAGTCATTGGTGCTCCAAAGGCAATTTTTGAGACTTTCGTCACTACAACAGACTTCCCATCTTCTTCTTTTTTGATGAAATTTTTCAATATCAGTGCCTTATCCACCTACGAAAAAGTTATATAAAGGTTATTTTTAAAGATGGAAAATAGTTACTTGACACACATCAAAAACTAAGCTCTTATTTAAATGGATTTCATTTTTTTCTTTAATCTTAGTTTCACCTTTTAAAAAGGTAATTTTATAACCTTGTTAAATGCATGTTTAAATTTCTGTCAGCTCATTAATGAGGCAATACAAGATTGATTAGTTCATATGTGCCGCATAGTGATAGCCAATTGCATGTTGCATCTACTGTGTAGCTGAAGACACAAAAATAATTTGAGCTACTGATAAATTCTGTAGTTTCATTTAAATTGCATTTGTGGTACGAGATGAGTAGTTTGGAAAATCAATGAAGGGTCATTACTCTAGCAAAAATCACAGAACCAGAAAATGCTGATGATAAGCACAGACTTGGTATTTATCAGTCCTGTAAAGTTTTGATTAATAAGGACCAGTAGCTTCTAAGGAGTAGTTCAGACAAGTTTTTGTGATGAACGGACACTCGGACAGACACTGATAAAAAGTTACCCCTAAATGTTGCAATTACTCTGTAGAGGCCATACAGAAAAAGAGGATAATTATTGTTATACTCATATTCTGTACTTTATTGTGAAAAGTAACAAATCATTTACAATTGTGAAAACTTCATGGTAATTTGTACAAAATGCTGTCACATTGAGCACAACAAAAAACACAGATAGAAACAAAAATTTAAAACCAAATGTGTTTAAATACACTTACTTGGAAAAATCTAAATTTCGAAGGGTCATAGCATGACACCTTGATGACATCCTTGCTATCACTGATGGCAGCAGCAAGCACCTGTTTCACTTGTGTGTCTTTGCCTGTGTATGTTATTGGTGTGCCAACTGCAACACATTGCACTCTTAATCCCTTATCATATGGGCCTGAACGTCCTTTAAATACAGATTTTATATCTGTCATCTACAAAAGAGAAATAATCATGAGATACAAAAAATAATAGTGAAAAATATACCATATAAGTGGGTTTTTTTGCAGTGACTTTACTTCTGTATTTTTTACGGTCACTTTCAGCACAACAGAAATAAAAATTGCAGAATATTTCTCCATGTTTTTGTTTTTTAAGCTGGTAAGATATGTGTTGTGCATTATGATGTTTGTTTGTTTCATGTTACTCCTTTTCCAAACAGTTTAATTCAGTCATATAGGCGTGTAGTGTCCTTACCATCGTTCCAAGAGAGTAACAGTTAAATCTAACACCAGTACTAGACTTTCTGCATCCATGCTGAAATACCAAAGCATCTCATGGGGATCAAACCCACACCAGAGAGGTAACTGGTTTGAAGTCATCGACTCATACCACTTAACCTAGGCAGTACAGCATTATGAAAAAGTGGTAACTACTAACAGATTAAAGCCGTTTTCAAGTTGAATGAAACTGCTGTCAGCTAAGTATCATGTATTCTGTGTTTGTATGTGAACATTGTGCTAACTTAATAATAAAGATATTTAAACAGCATATAAATTATAGTGTTTGCCGGAATGCTAAGGGTTGGTTTACAATATTCATCGTTCAAATCATTTCAACCCTTTTCATGCTATATATTCGTTGTATACTTTAATTCATTTGTCATCTTCTACAAATTTTATTAAATTAAAGATTCTACTGAGGTATATTTTTCACATGTTATTTCATGCTGATGAGAAGATGCATACCTTCTATTATTGTGCATTGAATTTGTTTGCAATTAATATACTGCCGGTGACAGCGATAAACAAATGCAAATGTGTACATGCAAATTAAATATAGTAATGTGACTATGACTTTGATAAGACAAGCCAAACAATTTAAATTACTTTTGTCCAAAGAAAGCTCCGCAGAAATAAAGTCCGCAGAAATAAAAACATGCCAAAATTTGGAAAAACTGCAAAATTTGGAGCCAGCAGAAAAAAAAACACTTATATGGTAGTTAAATTGTTAACTCAAATTCATATCACATAGTTTATCAATTATAAGTAAGATTTTAAGTATGACAACAAGTTTTTACAATTTTTTTTAGTAAACCAATTATTAATTGTTCTAGCCATGATATCAGATATGGTTATTTATCTTAAATTATTTTTGAAAGCAAAGTTTTTGAGAACCTGTGTGTAAATGCCTCTAATAATACCAAAATGAGGTTGTAGGAAATCTGTCCAAATAAGCTAAACTACTGGATGAATGAAAAAACTTGTGAAATTCAACACATGGAAATTAAGCTAAGTATTTAACACATTATTACAGTAAAAACTGTATACATACAAAGTCACTTTCTTAGAAAGTGATGTTGTCTGTAAAAGTCAATTTCAAGTAAATCAGCAATATATTTATGTAAGTGTTCAGCTTATAATATGACCAGAAAACTATCAAACAATTAAATATATGGCATAATGCAATATTATGACATCTAACCACAAATGTTAAAAAGTGTAGACCAGAATAATATGAAATGTTTGAAAAATACATTAATGACATGGGATACAAGCAATTAGAATATTTTGTTGCCACTTAAAATGGCAATTCAAAAAGCATTAAGTTATTGTCAAATTTGTGTTTAATACAAGACTTCTTATCTTTTTCTTTTTGTGACTTAAAGATGTTAGGCCGTCTATTGCTGAGAATGTTTACATAATAAACAATTATTTTTGTAATACAGGATAATTCAAGAAAATGTTGGGCATCGCGAGTTCATCTCAAACACATAAACTGATATATGTACATAATTGAGACACTTTTACTAGTTTTGACACTTCAACTTCATCAAATATGTAAAGTATCTGTATTGTGGTATTTGAATACCAGACTATCAATTTTTCTTACTAGTATACAATACTAAGTAAATTGGTTTGTGGTCAGAATAGTATGATTCTAGAGTACCAAAGGCTGAAATGTCTCTCTCACATAAATTTGTGTAAATATGGTCAATGCTAGAGGCATAATCTGTCGTCTCAGTCTTTATCAGTTGAGTAAGTTGACATTCATTTTCGAAAAGTTTGGTCAAAGTTTTCTGGTTATTACATTCAAAGTTGAAGTCTCCCATCAGGACCAGCTTAAAGGTAGTGTTTGTCAGAACATACTGTGTAATCTCTTCATGTACTGAAGACAAAAACAGTGTAAGGTTGGTAACAGTTGCTTGCTTAGGTGGACAGTATACAAAACCTATTACAAATTCTTGTTTTAAGCCTACTAGGCTGTATTCTATGGAAGAAATGGTCTTGCTACATATGAAGTCAACATTTAATGTCCTTTTAAAGTATATGACAATTCCATGTGCAGCTTGTTGTTTGTTTGCAGCATAAACCTGGAATCCTTCAACTTTCAACCTGTCATCAAACATATCCCAAACTCTTGCTTCTGCAAGACCCAAAATGTCAGCAGAAAGGAGGTTGTTATCATGTTTGAAATCCTCTAAATGTTTGTGCAAGGAACGACAATTATGGAAACATAGTTTGAGCTCATCAGGGGGAAAAGACTGTAAAGTAGGCATACATGGTATGTACCTTTCACGTCGTAGTCTTTCCATTTCTGTCTCAACCTCCTGAGACACACTTATTTTCTCAAAATTTGGTTCAGTAATATGAAGTTGTGACAGACTTGTAACCCTACTTAGTCCAACATAGTGAATATGTTCTATTTTTCTTTTCCCGAAATGTAGTACAGCTGCCTTCATAGTTGAACCTTGAGCTTTATGAATTGTTTTAGCAGCTGACAAACAAATTGGAAACTGGCGACGTGTCACAAGGTATGTTTTGTAGTATTTATATGTAAATCTACGAGTTGTCTCTAAAATTGGTGTCCAATTTTTTAATATGCTGTCTGTATACAAATGTTTGTAACGCACACGCCACTGTGTGCCTATGCACATATCGTCAAACTCAACCCAAACAATACTACATCTCATCGAGCCAAGAACTCTAAAGTCAAACTTCTTAATAAGACATGATGCACCATTTGTAAGACCATCAGCAGTGTCAACATTAACACAGATTTCTCCTGGTAAGCCTATTCCTAGAGAAAGTTCCTTTTGAAGTCCCATGGACAAGCTAGAATCATCTGATATCTTGGACAAAATAGTTTGTTGCAAATCAGGACTTACATGTCCAGAAATATCATCAATTGCTTTAATAACAATTTGTTCAGCAGAAGGAACATTTTGTAGCACAGAAATATTATGTGCTTTAGTGTCTTGTCTTCGACAGAACAAATGAGGCAAAACTTGCAAGGCTGTAATCTGATTAGTGTCAACCTGCCTAGATCTCAGTACCTGTATATCATCATCAGTATGAAGACCTTCTCTTAACCTGTTCAACAATTCAGCAAAAGTTTGGTCATCTTTTTGCCTCATTACCTGTTTCAGTTCAAAGAAATCAAAATGATCAACCCACAAACTTGATGCAAGGCAGCTCATTTGTAGAGAGTGTATCTGCTAGAAAAGATCCAAGCATCCATAACTGGTTTCAACTGAAAAAGGTCCCCTACAGCAAGGACACTTACATTCCCAAATGGTCTTGGGCAACCCATGATTTCTTGTAAGCGTAAATTGATGAAATTGAACATGCCCCTTCCTACCATTGATATCTCATCAATAATGACTATTCTCAAACTATGAAAACGTGCGCGCAAAGAATTTAACTGTTGCATGTCCAGTGGTTTGAAATTAAACCCTTGGTTTGCTGGAATGCAAAACGCAGAATGGATAGTTTGACCTCCAATATTATGCGCTGCTTTCCCTGTTGGAGCACATAATAACAGTTTCATGGCATCAGGATTTTCATCCTTCTTATGATTCAAAAATTTCAACAAACCTTGATATAAGCACCTTGTAACAACAGACTTTCCAACACCTGCACCCCCTGAAAGAAATGTATAGAATGGTAAAGACTGTTTCTTTACTTGTGACAGGATATGGTAAAAAAACTGTTTTTGCTCATTATTTAAGCTTCTTACTTGCTGCAAGTATTCATCATTTGCAATCTCCTTTTGGGGCATAACTTCATCACCTAGTGAGCGCTGCCTTACGCCAAGGTCTTCACCAATATCATAGCTAACAAAACAATTTGATCCATGACCTGCATCAAAGCAACCAAATTCAAAAGATTTAGTACTACCCTCATCACAGTCAAGTGTTTCTTGGAATTCTGATTCAGAGTTTATCCCTGCAGATATATTGTCTTCTGATTCATCCAGAATTGGCAAAAAGTCATCCACGGCACATTTTTCATACTGTTGCTTATTAGCAATGATATCTTCCTTTTGTGCGATATAACTTTTTTCATATGTACCAAAATTAAGTACCAAATCTGTGTCTTCATCTCGCCAGTGGCTGTACAACATCAATTTCTGTCTAAAATGTTCTTCTCGGTCCTTATTTACAGGTGTTAAATTGGTATACAAAACTTTTTGTTGATTTCTTTTCCTGACACGAGTCCCACAAGGAAATGTAACAATTTTTTCATAGACAACAGAACCACAAGGCTCTAAGTCATCATCTTTGTCATGTTCATATTCTATCTCTGGTAATTCTTCTGCCATGTTAGTCATCTCTGTTTGTACTTTTTTTTCCCCAGGGCATAAATCATACCAAGCTGCAAAGTCTGCATAGCATAATGTTTCCATACATTTTGGACGTCTTTTGTACCTTTTTAATAAACTATCCATTTCAACATCACTGGAAGTTGTAGGTAGTTCTTTCAAGTGTGAATATGGCTTTATCATTGATGTTCTCTCACTGGATCGATTGGTATCAACGAAGATCACTTCTCTTGTACATCTACGTAACGGCATCTGTAATACCAAGTAAACTGCTTCCTGAGCTCCAATTTCAACACTAGATAAAAACTGATTGCCAATTTTTCTCACTCTCTGACGTATGTCTGCATCTTGCTGAGCTTCATAACAAGCATCACGCAGAAGATTTGAAAGA